TTATTTTTATTTTTTTGGTGTTTGATATAAATATTTTTATATTAAGATATAATTAAATTTAATTCGTTTATCCTAAGAATCTATTTTTTAAAGGTAATATAGTTAAATCATTTTTTAACAAAATAATTAAAAATGAAAGAACTCATTCGCCGTATCTGTGTAATAATAGTAGTAAAATCAAAATAATATCCTGTCATGACACCAAACTGTCAAGTCTATCTATTTTATATTATTAAATTAGGTGCACTGCCTATCTATATTGTTATTGGCTCTTTACGATTCTACCTACTCTACTCTATTTTATTTTTATTTAGTATAGTTACGAAAATTCGTAATGTGTGCAAGTTTAGTATTTATTTTTTAAGTGATGTTAGTTAAATGATTATTAAATAAATACTTGATAAAAATAAATCATTTCCATCAAGTTTTAAATTATTCGCAACTAACCCTCGAAAATGCCTTTAGTAGCCCATGGGCTAGAAGTGCAAAAGCCTATTATTAGCATACGTACTTATTCATGAAATTGTTTACTAAATTTGTGTTGTGTGGTTGAGCCAATTACATAAAATGGCTAAGATTGATTTGGTCACGTATTTAATTATCTCAATTTGGGACTACAATAAATATTCTTTACCTTACGACAATATTCCCAGTTATACCCAACGTTGAGTGATCAATTGAATAATCTTCATAATATGTATACATCAAATACTAGAGTATATGTATAATATTATACTCCCTCCGTTTCAAAAAGATTGATCTGGTTTGACTTGGCACGAAGTTTAAGAAATTAAAGAAGACTTTTGAATCTTGTGGTACTAAATTAAAGTTATGTCAAATTTACAAAATTGTTCTTAATCTTGTGGTCTTAAACATGCCACGTGGAAAACAAAAAGTAAAATGTTTCCAAAAAAGGAAAGAGGTCATTTTTTTGAAACTGACTAAAAAGGAAAGAAGGTCATTCTTTGTGAAACGGAGGGGGTATATGATTGTGGTGTTTTATCACGTTGGACCAGCATTGCCTAATACTATAAGAAGTAAAATTTAGTTCATTGGTAAGATATTTAAACTACGATGATTATGCATACAATCATTTGTCATTGAATATACATCCATGATATAACATAAAGTCCAATAAGACGATAATCCATAGCTATTTGTTCTCTCTCTCATACATGACATGACATGCATCCGCTCCACATATTGTATCAAAGCATACAGTCGCGTTGGATACACATACATAATCCCACTGAAAGATACATACAATATAGTCTTGCCTATAATATACCATCAAAGAAGAAGACTGACTCAAAACTATGTTATTCTTTTTACAAATTAAAACCCTTCTTATTCAAAAGAAAAGTGAAAGTAGCAAACCTAGCACAACAATAAGACACTAATTAAGGACCAAATTATACCAAAAAGGGGAATCAGAACAGTAGTTTAAACATATTAAAAAAGACTCAAAACCTAAAATAACATCACAAAACTAAGCGTGCATAAATTTATTAGGATAACCATCTGGTCTCAATAATATTTGGGTCCAAAAATAGCCTTAATGTTTGTGTTGTAGCTCAAATACATATATCGTTCAGATGTTGGACGATTCATGGCAAAATTTTGGGACTTCAAATTGATTTTGATCAAGCCCACCTATTGGAGTTAATATCTCAAAAAGCTCTAAATATCTAGTTGAGAGTCTTATTACTAATATTTAGAGCTCGATCAGATTTTCAAGTTAAATAAAGGTTATCATTCTGTTTTTTCTATAAATTGTGTACTGCTACTGTAATTATTGAGTTTAAAGCATATAATAAATGGGCTCAATCGTTGAGTAGGTGGTTTCTTTCTTTAATGGTGGTGTATTTTACTGGTATTAATTTTTGGTAGCTTCAGTTGTCTCTTCTAACCAGTTTGATAATTCATGTTATTTTTCTCAGATTACCCTATTTACTAATGTAGATAAATAAAAAGTAAAAATTATATAAAGCACATAGTATAATAAACAAATTACTTCCTGTCCCTACTCTTTCATAAATTACGAAATTTCCTTCTTTTTTTTGTGTTGCGGATACTTTAATTAAGAAGCTGTAATTATCAGGTCAGTGCGTTAAAAAAGGGATTTTAAGAGTTTTATGCGTTAAGTAAGGGATTTAAAAATTAACTGCCACAATTCACGCATTAGTAATTTTTCCTAACAATAATGATCTATGTTACTATTTTATGATTCATGTCTAATAATTCTCAAATTTGATACTTTAGGAAGTATTTTTAGGTTACTATTTTATGATGCAATAAATGAATAATGTTATGTTTTGCTATCTGGCAACATTATGTGATTGTCAATTTATTATAAAAATTAGATTGGTATACTATGTGCTTTTTATAATTTTTACATAGATTAATAGTGCCAAATAGTTGTGATGTGTGCCAAAGTTAATAGAGACAACATTTAAAAAAGGTATCATTTGAATCAATTATATATCATATACATAATATATTCTTCTAAATTTTGTATCTACTAATAATAGAATATCAGAAGTTGTATTTTTTACCAATATTATATATCATATACATAAAATTTCGATATTTATGGACGGAATTTGAGTTTTCATGCACAAAAATAATTTTCTGGAAATTAAGTATAAGCTTATAAAAAGTTAGAGTGATTTTAGTATAAAGTTTGTGTATATTATACTTGATATCTTTGAAACTTTGTCATGAAATGATAAAACCGTATCAATTTGAAATGTTTTAGGCACCTATCACCTATGTATCATATGCCTAATATTTATGTAAGTAAAAAATATTTAGTATCATCTTATAGAATATAAATTGTACAGTGTTGTGTGAACAATAAAATTATGTCATTTTAAGATACATAATTTTGTATCATATACTTAATATGGGAGATGAAATTTTGTATCGGATTCACTGTAGTAAAATCTGCATTGACACGTATAATACTTATAATATAGAAAAATTAATAAGGTATTAAAATGCAGTGAAAACTAATTTAGAAGCGACATAAAAAGTGTGGAAATAAAAACTCTTCAAAAATAGAATAATTAATTACTTAGAAATATAATGTAGATCTGGAGAGGAATACTACAAAACACTATGTATCTTCAAAACAGTAAAACTTCACATCTTTACGGTAAGTCAGTCAATAAACAACTACTCTACATTAATCAATTCATCATCTGCCAATAGAATGGAAGCGCATTTAGCCTTATAGGATCATCATTCTGGTTACGTATCCGGCATTGACCTTGTCGGTACCATATTTCCATAACAATGTTGCATATCTTGAGTGAAGATATTCACTTCGAAAAGGAATCGATGGGACCTTGATTTCGTGGCTCAGAAATTCAGCAAAAGCAGCTACATATATTCCGCAGTCGCTGCAAACAGAAAGAAGATACATTATAAATTGAATGAAATGTGTAAATAAGATGAACACCAGATACATTATCAAACTTTAGGGGTTGTGAAATCGGGGTTTGAAATGGCTGATTCTTTTGCACGTCTGGTGTTGTCTTTGACACATTATTCTTTGTTTCTAGGTAGAAACTCAACATTTTAGTATATACCAAGATACTTTATTTTTCAACAATAATACCAACAATTGATAAAATATCGGTGTTTCTGGGTAGAAACTCTACATTTCAGTATATACCAATATACTTTATTTTTCAACAATGTGTTTCATCAATAAATGTAAAATTTATACTCAATATCAACATCAGATAAAACATCAGTGTTTCTGGTAAAAAACTCCAGATTTCAATATATACAATAAAATTATATTTTTCAACCATATCTTTCATCTACAAATTTAAAAGTTAAACTCAAACCCAAACAATCAGTGTTTCTAGGTTAAAACTACAGATTACAATATACACTATATACGTTTATTTTTCAACAATGTCTAAAATTAAAAAGCAAAAGAAGACATACCATGGGTAGTGTTGGTCGGGAAATGGGAGGGACAACCTTTCTACCCTTTTCTTTTTAGTTTTTGCATCCTTTGCTTTAGATGATGACCCCACTTCCATTTTCGATTTTCTCTTGGTAGAAGTTCGATTCGCCATTAATGTTGTTGCATGCAAGCTTTTAGACCTCTGTTCAGTCAAGTTGGGGTGTTCAGATTAAAAAAATTGTTCATTGTTAGGTGTTATTAATTGGAAAATCCAATATTAAAAGACGGATGATCCATTGTGACAAATAATCCAAAATCTATTGAAAAAAAAAATGATTTTGAAAGAATAGTGAAGAAGAAGATAATACCTATTTTGACCTTTGGAACTGTTGAATCGTTTGAAAATCCAATTGCTTTGAAAGCGGTAACTGATTTGGTAGTGGGAAAGATTATAGGCGAGATTTTGAGGGTGAGGAAGATGGGTTTGGTTTCTTTCATAATTAAGTATCCGGAAAAGAGGAATTGGAGAAAAGTAGAGACTTTTGAATTTGTATGAAAGAGAAGGGATTAATTGATAATAGGTAAACATATGTAGTGTACTTTAGTAATTTTGCCAAATAAAAATTAGATAGACTTTTGAATTAGTTCAGAAATTTCCTTTAAATCCGGACAATTAATTTATTTGTGGAGTTCACATTTTTATACATATAAAAATAATTTATTTTGTCTTGTTATATTTTTTCTTAATACTAAATTTTGTTGAGTGTTTTTTATTGATAAAAAAGCTAAGTTAACTGATTTTTTTAATACAAAAATTTTAATTGAGTGATTTTATTGATACAAACAAAACTTTAATAATTTTATTAGATAAATTTTCGAGATCATATCATATGATTTGTTTGCTCATCATCAGCCTGCTGCCTAGGGTTTGCTTCTTTAATTTCAACAAGATTGTATTGTTGTCCACTAATGGCATTCCAATTCGAAAGGTGAGTTGGTTGCAGCCTAATATTTTGATTTTATAACTTTTGATTTATCCTCAAAGTTTTTTTTTTCTTTTCCTTCTCGTGCTGTTGGTGCTGGTAGGGCTTTGCTGGGAGCATCAACAACGCATATCAGGTATGTAATCGTCTTGCAAAATTTCATCTTTCGAAGAATTTATTTTGATTTTTGTATTTTTGATTTTTGATTGTGCAGGGGATACTGCCAGAAAGTTTCATCCACTGCCGAACTCGATCGCTCATTTCGTCGTACTTGTAATTTAATCACCCTCTAATGGTTTAATTTCTCTTTTTTGTATTAATTCATTAATAATAACTCAAACTCTGATCCCTCCCTTGCAGGTATTATGTTTGGTGCTGGGGCCGTAACGGCTTGTAATATCCTTTATTGCACGTATGTATTTTCTTCTGTTTTTTCCCATGAAAACCCAAAGAAAAAAATTCAGAAAGATCAATATATTCAGAGTTGGATCTGATTTTGTTTCTTGGCCTCGCAGGTTTCACACTAAACTGAATGAAGTCCGGGAACAGTAAGTTTGCACTACTTTACGGTGTAGTAGATTATATTATTGTGTTATTTACTCCATTTACATTTAACACATCTTTTTTCTGCACTTTCTGTTTAAGTCAAAACAGAACCTTTGCTGCCCAACTTTTCCACAAGTTTTACATGGCCATAATTGTTCCAATGATGACTTTGTTCTTCACAACAGCTCTTAACTGTAAACACACCCCTGTTTCCACATTATTATATCCTTTGTGTGTCTAAAAATAGTTCAAGAATCAATTACGTGCAGGAGATCTCAAAATTTTTCCACCTTTTAATCATTAAGATTTTGTTTTACAACGTCAATGAATTTAATCTCCAATAATCAACACGGTCTCCAGGTACTGTCTTTCTTTTTCACAAATGAGGCAAAAACAAGAATGACTATGTACCATGGTTTGAGAGCTTGAACATATAATCAATGATACCTTCAGTAGCATTCTTTTGATTAAAGGAATACATGTAAGGCCTTAAATTGAAAGGTTGATCACCTGAAAGTAAAGTAATGGTATGACAAAAGGTCTGTTAGGAGGTAAGTCCTTTGGTTCATCAAAGACTTTCTGAAAGGACTGTAACAAGACTGTTTTCTTCTTAAGAATTTTCTGATGATCTCTATCTTTATAGTGGGTACTCATGGCACAAACAACAGTTATCCCACTAAACTGATGTTTATTAAACAATTTAAGTAACTTTTCACCTTCAGTAGGGAAAAGTCTGTGCTCCCAAACATGGTGATCGATCAACCTTTCTTCCCTTACGAATGACAGACTGTGTGGTGTAGTAGTCAAGAGTGTGCTCCTCCTGGTGACCAAACAAGGCGATCAACCTTTCTTCCAGATAGATTGTGTGGTCTGATACTCAGTTTTAACTAGAGAAAACACATCTATGTAGTACTTACCCAGCACCAAATCACAAACCTCCAACTTGGAACACTCTAATGTCAAAAACAAAATGGCTCCTCTTGCATTTGCCCCAGAAAATTTGGACAATAATGTGTAAATGATCTGCCCATTAGCAACTGTTACCTTCATCCTAGTATAACAGGGAACTATAGACATTCTTAGAGCATTGATCACCTGAGGACTCACAAAGCTGTGAGTTGAACCACTATCAATCAAAGGGCATCTTCTTTGCATAACCCGGGATAGTGTTACTAACGCTCCCATTCATGACAGAATTTCGTGCTCAGATGAGAGGATCCCGTAACCACATAGATGCATGGGTTCATTAATTTACTGTGGAGTTTCAGATCTTTACCAAACTGATCCACTTCGAATCCCATATTTTTCAAGACCTCGTCAGGATCCTTCTTTTTTTCTTCAGAAAAAGAAACAGAGACAAAAACACCTTAGATTACTGTTAAAAGGAACATCAAAGACATTTTTTCTGTCTTAAATCCCCACATTCATAGGCCATAGGGTTCTTAGCTGAACATGTGTCTATTGAATTGATGGACAATGAAAATTTAGAATGACAACTTTTAGGAGGATTATTTGATGGAGACTTTCTCAAGGGTCCTAAATTTCCTTTGTGAATCTAGTGAGATTTGTGTTGAAAGAACAAGAAAGAGTTGTATCTTTCAAAGTGGAGGAGAGAACTGGTGAAATTGTCAGGGCGCGTAATTGGAGTTGTTTCTGAATTTTGTGAGTGATTTCAAGTGAAAACAACTTTTTTGTGTTTTTCAAATTCTGGAATTTTCCGAAATTTTATTGCCTAGTATAGTTTCTTATATTCAACTGTGGAAAAAAAAGAAAAAAATATTCATGACGAAATGGTTTAGATTCAGTGTAAAGGAACTTGTAGAGAATCTTGTTGTAGTGCGAGGAGTTGTTGGTTTCATTCTCTATGTTATTATGTTATAGTGCCTGGAGTTCTTGGTTGCATATTGACTTATGTTTTGCAGCTTGTTATTAACCAACGAATCTTTGCAATTCTTTTTTTGATGTGCTCAAGAAATGCATTTCAATAGATGTTATGATTTCTTATAAATAGATATTTTTACCTAGTCCTCAGCTTCAGACCATATTAAATTTTGATGGAATTACTCTAGTTTCAAGAATTTTAATTCACTCTGCTATTTGTCTCATCAGGGAGCGTGATCTGCAATGGATGTGGGAGAATCGTTTTTAGTAGTATGTGTGTATTTATCAGCCTTTTGGTTAAGATCCAACTGTAATGTTTACTTATCTATCTATGAAGATGTTAAGTTGATGTTCTACTTACAAATTTCCTGAAGTGTATTGGAATGTGGAAGGAACTGAATTTTGTTGTCATCAGTGGTATCCCTTTTTAAAATTTATCTTTGAATAGCATGGCAACATTACTCAGCATTTAAACTCCCCTAGGACCATTAATCTCAATTTCTAGACTTGATCTTTGTTAGAGAAACTATTTCAGCTTTCTGCCCAGTTCCTCTTAGTTCTGCTTCAGTGTCTTGCAGTTTGTGCATCTTGATGTCAAATCTTTTATGGAGTGAACTCATGAAGTTATTTTCTTGGGATTTTTTTGGAATTAATTAGAGTTTCATCTTTAATTTTGTATACTCTTTATTTGTGTACAAATATTCAACTAAAAGTAAATATTTATATTACGTTATTGTCTCATATTTTATGCATAGTTTTGTTCTTAATTCTTATCTTGGGTGTTTTGAGTTTATAATGAGTTTTATGTTTGTAGAAAGTGTGTTGGATGAACGTGATAAAAAAGAAGATATTTATCCATACTTTAATGATTAGTGCATACACACATACACTTATATATACATTCTTTTGTTTTGCCTATATTTCAGCGATTTGGCACTGTGGGTTGTTGATGATATGGTTGAACTTATATGAATACAACTATGTTTTTTAGTATACACAATCGCGCTGGATAAGCAAATATCGTAGGATGATTATACATGCATACAACATACAATCATCCGTCATTGAATATACATACATGATACAACATAAAGTCGAATAAGACAACGATACAGAGCTATTTATTCTCTCTCTCTCAAAGATAGTATGCATGCACTCCACATATTGTATCAATGGATAAAGTCGCATTGGATACGCATACATAACCCCACTGAAAGATACATACATCAAAGAAGACGATGGCCCAGATCTATGGTATTCTTTATACGTACAATACATAACCCTTGTTATTCCAGTAATAATTAACCCAAGAGAACTAAGGTCCAATAAATGACCCAAAAATAGTAAGAAAATTGTGAAATATATGACTCCATGTTGGATAAACCGTGTTATTCATTCAAACAAGAAAAGCACGCTGAATAGAATAAAGGACTTGGACTATGAAGTATAATGGTGAAAGAAATGTAAATTTTGAACCAACAAGACAATAAGTTGCAAAGTACAAGTACATTGCACTTACAAATGGCATCATCAAGAAACACACTCAGAGCCTAGAAGAGAAGCACAAGCACAATTAAAGGAGAATCGCCTCAAAAGAAAAGTGAAAGTAGCAAACCTAGCACAGCAACAAGGCACTAAGGAGCAAATTATACTAAAAAGAGGAATCAGAACAGTATTTTAAACATATTGCAGTCACCAATTCGTCCACTGATACTCCTCCAAAGTTTAAGATCAGATGTCAAAGCATCAAGTGAAGATCACAGAACCACAATGATGAATTTGATATGATGGCGCAAGAAATGACAACGACCCCAAGAGAGTTACATAAGCATAGAAAAGACTCAACTTAAAATAACATCACAAAACTAAGTGTGCACAAGTACAACTAGTAAATAACAAATGTCAACATTCCTAGGCCATTATCATTTATTCCTCCATGTTGTCCTTTCCAGCATAAAGGCAGCAGCTTTAAGACGCTTCTTCCTAGACCTAGAGACAAATATCAAAGTGAATTGAAGTGTCGATACAGGTAATAAATACTAAAGTTATATTAAAACAATACAATATCATAACGCATCATCCAACACAAAACCTTTTGAGGTTTAGTCAACACTAGAACTAGATTTTAAAAAATTATCTACTGCAGATCCTCCATTTTTCTGCTACGCTACTACTATCATTCTGGGCTTTGATAATGTTTCTAACAAAACAGCTCACAAGAAAAGAATATTGAAGAAAAAATGGTGTATATGGCATTGCATTGTATATACTTGCTATAAAATTAACTTGCACTCATGCGCTACAACTTCTCCTAATTAGTTCTCTCATTTATAAGTTGGAGACAAGAATTAAGAATATGGGTTTGATGGACAAATTATAAGATGTTAATATTGAAAATCTGCAGCTACATGGGAACTTAAAAATGGGACCTTCTTTTTTGAAGCTTCTCAAAATTTTATTTAGATTACCACAAAAGAAAAAAATAAGAAAAAGCATAAACGGGGTGGGGCGGGGTGGGGTAGGACAAGGCAATAATTTGAGAAATGCTAAATACGGCAGGGTAGGGCGGGTTGAAATCTTAGCAGGTCATGCCTTGCGCCGCCCTAACCCACCCTAGTGCCATCCCTCTATCAGCATTCAATAGATAGGTGCTGATCACTGAATAATACGTATTACCTTCTAAAAAAAAAGAAGATATAACTTACTCTTTAATTTTAAAAGCTTCGTTGCGTAACCTGCAAAATAAATTTAAAAATAAGTTTTACACAAGAGAAATGTCTGGAAAACAATTAGCCTAGTAGGAAAGATGATAGTAAACAAAACAAAAAAATCTTCAAGTTTGAGAATCACCTATACCTATTATTTGCAACACTCTCCTTCCAATTTTGAGTATCACTTACCCCGTTTTATATACATTTTTGTGTACATAGTTTCTTCTTAACCTAAATTTTTACAATTTTTGGGCTTTTGAAACAAAATTTATCCGAGGTTGAGTTATGCACCAAATCGAAGGAATGGAGAGCAGCCACAATGAGATGGATTACTTCATTTCCCTAGTAAGGAAAACAGAAATAACAGGCTACAAATGGTTCTAATACCCCTCCCAATTAGGAATTACCCAGGTTTGATGGTTAGGACTCAAGAGCCTAAGGTACGGATTCGAAAATGTGAGGTATTTCAATTTATATAAAATTCTTGAGCAACAAAAGGTAGAAACAACAGCTCTCTATTTGAATGGTGTATCAGAGGTTTGGAGTCATTCCTTGATACCGAGTACGGGAGTTGTAGGATGCCTGAATTTAAGAAGGAACTATGCAGTAGATTCAGTGTAGAACCACTAGGGGATGTGGTGGAAGAATTCAATAAACTTTCTCAAACTGGTACTGTGGATTAATTGTTGCGGGAGTTTGAAGACTTAAATTCTCAGATGTTGGTAAGAAATCCAATTCTGAATGAATCACATTTTTTGTCCAGCTTTTGTAGGAGCACTGAAGGAAGAAATCAAGTATGGGGTCAAACTGCTTAAACCTTCTAGCATACAGTTTGTCTCTTGAGGATCATATTCATCAGCTTATTATTCTGTTTACTACTCTTAGAGGATACTTGGGGCTAACAGATTACCACAAAAAATATGTAGCAAGATATGGTACCATATGCAAACCCTTGGCAAACTTATTGAAGAAGGATTTCTTTAAGTGGAATGAAGAAGCTAATGCAGCCTTTGTTGCTCTCAAAACTGCTATGACCACCATTCCTGTTGAGAGTTGTGATGTATGCCACAAGAACAAGGATGAGAATGTAGCCTAACTAGGGCTACTGCAACCTCTATCAAACCCTAATCAAAATTGGAGTCACATAAGCATGGACTTTACCGAAGGATTGCCAAAATCCAGTCCAAAGATATGATACTAGTAGTAGTGGACAGGCAACTAAAGTATGCTCATTTTGTTGCCCACTCCCACCCTTTTAATGCAGCCACTGAAGATCACAAGTTTTGGAAGAAGATGCATTGCTTACATGGCACTCCTAAGTCAATTGTATTTGATAGAGACAAAAAAAAATTCTTACCAATTTTTGGCAGTCCTTGTTCAAACTATTGGGTACTCAACTACACTTTAGCACAACCTATTACCCTCAAATTGATGGCCAGGCTGAGAGAGTGAATAGGTGCATTGAGAACTACTTGAGATGCATGACCTCTAACATGCCTACTCATCGGAGACAGTGGCTTCATTGATGGAATATAGAAAATTGTGATAATTGAATTTAGTTGATTTTAATTCCAAAATTGAGGTACGCACCAGTACAAGTAGAAGCACGCAGATACGAGTCCGCCCCCAATGAAAGCTCTAACTGCAAAGACCAGAGAAATAAAATGAGAGAGATAAATTTGAAGCGAGAAATAGAAAAGTAGGTTGATAATTTTACCATCATGACCAACTCTACTAGAGGTTTTTGTGGGAGAGATTTTCTGGCAGTATCCCCTGATACAGAATCAACAATTACATACCTGGAGAAGAAAAAAGAAGAAGAAAAATTCAACATACCTTAATTGTGTTGGTGCTCCAAGCAAAGCCCTACCAGCCACTTGTCTTCTACAAAAATCAAACAAGCTTAAGCAAAAATCATACAGTATTATTAATGAAATTATGCTGAAACCAACCAACCAACCCACCCTACGAAACAGAATGCCATTAACTCAACGATCTTCGTCCAAACAAAACAACGAAAACCTAGCATGCAAATCCCTCTCCCAGCCAAATACCAAAAAAGCAGAGTAATAACACAACAAATTTTAACCGACCCGATTCCAGGCCTACAAGTTAGTTGGGTTTTGTATACTTGGAAATTTCAAATTAATTTGTTACTTTTTTGTACCAAATAAAAAAAAAATCAAATAACGCCACTTTTAGAAGATTTATTGGACTCTACTATGTATATTTAATATCGGATATAAAATAAAATAAAATAATATTACTTCTATGATATGGTTATATTTAGATAGGTAGCACGCAATCACAAGAATTTGTTAATTTGTGTTGTGTGGCGTGTCTGAGCCAACGACCTATAACGGGTAATTAAAATCGGTTTCGTCATGTAGTTAATTGCCCAATTCGGACTCCGATAAATATTCTTCCCCTACCATAATTTACCCTTCAATCTAGGGACAGGTAATCATCTGATTTTTTTTTTGTTAATTTGATGAAGCTGTGGGAGTTTTTATGTTTAGTAAGTAGATGTCAAAAAAGTTTTACTAATTTGGCTAATTCATATTTTAACTTGTCGAGGCTCGATCTTATCAGTGGTGGAGTCAAAATTTTCATTAAGAATTAGCGGTGTTTGTTGTAAAAAATAATTATGAGGTTAGTTGGGCTTGAGAACTCGCGATCTCAAGGAATTTCCACGACCCCTTAACTACTAGAGTAAACCTTCAACTTGTTCTAATAGGTGTAAATACTTGTATATATATTTATTAAATTAAAATTTTAGCTCTATATACGATGTAATTTTTAGGCGAAAGGGATGTCGCTTGACACCCCTGGGCAAGGGTGGCTCCCCCCTGGATCTTGTATCCAACCCATATATTTTTTTTAAAAATACTTAAATACACAATTTATTTATCATAGTTTCTAAAATTTTCTTCCATTTAAAAAATTTATAAAAATTCTTATTTTCTCATTTTCTCGAATACATCACTCTTACGCGATGTATCAAAACGAAATGTATCAAGATATGTATATTTTGTATCAATAAAGATAATATATTGAGACACAATGATGTATCAAAATGTGGAACGATGTTTTGATCGGAATTTTTAATGTTATGGAATGATTAGATAAACACAACTTGCTAAATAAAGTAAATAGATTAAAAAATTGGCGGTATAAAATAGAGCAAACACAATTATTTTAAGGAGCCGACCTTTTCTTCATTATTGATTTATAGTAGTTGGATTCATCACCTTTTGAAACCCATAAAAGTATTATAGAACCGACCATTTTCTTGCTTGCCTAGTTTTGTTTAATTAACTGTCACATGACCATATATCATTGTGCTTTCTCCCTTTATTTTAAGCTTATAAGATAAAATTGCACATGTGAGCATGATTATAAAATAAATAAGATACTAATCTTCCAAGACTATTAATAATAATAATATATTTGATATAATCACATAAGTTGAATCTGTAAAAATAAAATATGCATAGATTTTACTCTTTTGAAATCAATAAACTATTTTCGATACTATCAATATAACATTGCATTGCCACAACACGCTAAAAAAGAAAAATAACAATATCCTTGAAGATTACCTAGGAGAATAAACAAAAGATCAAGATGAAAGAAATACGGGAGGAAACGAAAGATAATAATAATAATAATAGGATAATAATCATAAAATTTGATTAAAAGGATTATAATAAGGTTTTCCATTTTCCATGTATTGATATGTTATATTCACGTTATCTCCATCTATGCTCGTAGTTTTTGAAAATGATATCACATCTATGATAAATATTCTAAAAATACACACTATTTTCGAATATTTAACACATATCCATTAATAAATTTTAAGAGTTCAAACAATATAAATTGTCATTACGGTACTACATATATATAGCGCATGCTACCTATGTGTATGGTCAGAAATTGGACTTTAAGAAAAATAAATAAATGGGAACGATATTAATTTGGGACGACTTTAATTTGAAAAGTAAACTATATGGACATAAAATTAATCGATACCATAAATCAAATGGTCGGTGCCCAAACTATAAAGTAGTTAGAACAACTATCATCTCATGTCATAACCCAACTTTCTCATAATTATAAAACTTAAGTTCCCAAAAGAATGATATCCTTTTTAGTTAAAGCAACAAGTTGCTAAAAAATGTAGCAAAAAAAAAAAAAAAAGCTCTAGATTAATTAGTGATAAGAGCTAGCATTTGAAATTTTATAAGTTTTGAACAATATTTTATAATAACTTCATACTTATTAAATTCACAATTTCAATAAATTTTTTGATATAAATATAAGATCTAAATAAAAATTATTGAATATATCTGTATCCCTACTTAATATTATAGCATCATGCTCTAAAGATACTTATGTTTAAAGTTGTTTCATGATCCCTCATGATATATATAATTATATATATATTAGGTGCTTTCTAAGTTTCAACCTTTCTCTTGATCTTCTAAACTTGGATCACCAATATCATTATGAACACAAAACACCAATAATTTATTTATATATGAAAAAGGACAATACAATAAAATAGTGATTATGGAGGAAAGAAGCTATTTTAAATAAAACACATAAGCATATGAACGTAGTAGAGAATCAGAATTTAAAGTTTAAAGATTCGAAATCCAATTTTCTATAAACAATTAAAAGATATTAATGAATAAAATATTAGGGTTTGAGTAAGAATGAATCTTTGGTGATTAAGAGAAAAGATATGGAGGGAACATGGGGGGCGGTGGTTTACTCAGTCTCTACGTCAACATAATATATAGAAAATTGCGCCGACCTAAACATTTTAATTAACAATCTACACAGACACTTATTTAATTTCCACAAAAAATAAAAGGACAAAACATTTTAGAAACTGCAACAAGATATGATGATACATACATTAATATAAATATGGGTGTAGTGCACTGGTGGGAGTGTTTCACCCTTAATCACAGGTCTCGAGTTCAATCCTTGAGTATGGAGAAAATCCTGTTGGGAGCGCCACCCCTGAATGGGCCCTGCAGAGCGCGATCCGGATTTAGTCGAAGCTCCAATGTGGGCCGGACACCGGGTGGAAAACAAAAAAAAAAGATACTCCCTATAAGCTAAGGTTGACCAATAACATGACGAAATAAAAATAAAAGACGAATTCAGAATTTAGACTCTAACATCAATAGCGTATGAGTTTATACTATTATTAGTATTTGAAAGTTTAATATTAGTTGTAAATTTTGAATTCAAACAATGAACATAGATTTTTTTTTTTTAAAAAGCGTTTTACCTAATTCAATATAAATTTTCTGAGTCTAAATCGAACTGTAATCGAGTCGATCTTTATATTAATATTGAACACCAAATAAAAAAACGTCTAGATATTTGAGAAGTAGTCATTGGTCGTATTTTATTTTTGGCTGCTGTAGGTGGTGGAAATCCTACTTTCGGTTCTCATTTTTATTTTGATGGCAACGTACTGTTATCACACTCTAACGTCATATTCCTAGGGCTGAGATAGAAGATTTTTTTCTTCTATCTCAGCAGAGTCGGAATTTATGTAAAGATTTAAGTGAACTTAAAATATAAAAAAGTAAATATATAATTACATGCATTTAATGAGCATGCAAGAAGCTATGAATTCAGCTGATTTTAGTAACTTTGGTTCAAATTTATATTCTTTTCATTCATGTCTATTTATGTATATATGTTTGATGTACACATCTTTTAAAAAATAATAAATAAAACAATAACTTCACAATATGATCAACTCTAATTATTATAAGTCATTTCATTCACCGAAAAATAAATTGAAAGTAATTAGTACAATACTTAATAATAAGAGTAAACTAGATAAAATATGTACAAAATGAACTACTAAATATGTACAAAAGCTTCAGACAGCAATGAAAGCGAGCAAATAAAGTGATTTAGATATCAACAAAGGTTGTGATCACAAAGATTTCAAGTTTAAGATGTAAATATAGAATTACTTCTTTTAAGGGAATACTTTATCTTAATATAAAATTTTTGAGTACAAATAATTAAATATTAATCAAATTTTAATATGAGTATCGAACCGTAGGTGATGGACACGAAACACTACTTTCGGTTCTCATATTCATTATATGACGCATTCTCTTCTTAATATGTTTAAGGTCTCTTTCTTGTTTCCACAAATAAAACAATTATAAATAGGTCCTTATAATATCATAATGTAAGCTTAGTTATTAAAATGTTAGATAATTGCATTAAATATAAAATATTAAGAGTAATCTAAAACACAAAATAATTGAATTATTGACTATTAAAAAAAAGAGTGTAGTATATGAGGTGAGTGTCAGCGATTTCTCCTAAGCTAGTTTTCTGAGATTGAATTAGATTTAATATCGATCCTTTTGACATCATATCAGAATCAGACTCTTCCTTGTACATTAATATTAGTCGTTATTTAATCATATTAAATTGTTTATGCTTCAGATATCATCGGACAAGGGCTCCTCCTATATGGGAACTCAGAAAGTATTTCATGATTAGATGAGAAAAAAAGTACAATAAATTATTTAATTATTATTAACTGAAAAAAAAATTAAAAAATTCTATTGGCTAGCACACTTTCCCTGCACATGAAGTCATGAAGAAAGAGTTCAATAAAAGGACCATTGAAAACTCGTTTATGGACTGTGTTTAACGGCGTCGTTTTCCGAATGGGCCCAATTTTTAAGGAACCCAATGACAAGATCAACGGTCACAATCGGCCGAATCCAACGGTCTTCATCCAATTGGCGGTTGCCGCCCAATATCATCCCAACTATAACGTTTTCTTTATTTATTAGTATATTATATTATTTTTTAATTAAAATTATTTGTCTTTTTAATAAAATCTAAAAAATAGACATGGGGGACTCCTATTCTACAAGTAGCCAACCACATCTCTTGCCGGCATTTTAGGATGAAAAATATTTT